TCTAAAAGAACAGTCTATACGATTTTTTATAACGGCTGTAAAATAGACACGGGTTTTGACATGGAAGAGTAATAAATTTAGGCCTCGACAATTGTTTTCTCTCAGAATAGAATAACGGCTTGCCAAACCTAGTTACAGATGTGAGTCATTTATCGCTCTAATATCACCTGTTTGATCTGGTATTCGAGCTGGGAATAGATTATTCGGTTACGGGGTTGGTATTTGGTTTAGATTTAACTCTCCTTTATACTTCTATATATTATAATGTTTCGTTAATAATTCTATAGTCTTAGTTAATAATATGAAAATACATATACTTAATTATTTATTAATCTACGCCAACGCTCGTTTTGCTTCAGTGAATAGAGACAATGTTTCTGTGATTGCATTCATATCAAGCGTGTTATCATAATGAGAGAGGATAACTAGAAAGTTTAATATTATGTAAGAAACTGATTTTTTGTTGTAAAAACACAAGTTTCCAATATCTAGTATATTTACACCATACTATCATATAGGGTGTCTCACGGAAAATTTCGAATTTAAAAAGGCTATAAAAAAAGAACGACTCGATAGATTTCAATGATCAAACATTTATTTGAAAGCATAATTCATGACATTATTTGTGAAAAATTATCTCGGTCAAATGTCCACCACAGCTTACTTGGCAGTACCCTATTCGATCAGTCCAATTTTTCAGTACATTTTCAATTGTTTCCGGCCTTATGGCAGCAATGGCAACTTCAATTTCATGTTTCAAGTCATCAATCGTGCTTGGCTTGTTGGCGTAACAAACGTCTTTGACCGCTCCCCAAAGGTAATAATCCAATGGTGTTAAATCGCAGCTTCTTGGAGGCCAATTCACATCACCATTTTTGCTGATTATGCGATTTTCGAAGATTGGGCGCAAAACATCGACCGTAGCATGGGCTGTATGGCACGTAGCCCCGTCCTGTTGAAACCAAATATCGTCCAAATCATACTCTTCCATTTGACCGAAAAACCAATCAGTTAACATAGCGCGGTAGCGCTCGCTGTTGACGGTTACGGCGGCTCCTTCATCATTTTCAAAAAAAAATGGGCCGATGATGCCGCCGGACCAAAATCCGCACCAAACAGTCACTCGTTGTGGATGTATCGGTTTCTCCTCAACGACGTGCGGGTTTTCTGTGCCCCATATACGGCAGTTTTGTTTATTTACATAACCGCCGAGGTGAAAATGAGCCTCGTCGGAAAAGATGATTTTTCGATAAAACTCACCATCTTCGGCCAAACGATCTTCCGCCCAATTTGCGAACCGTAGACGTTTCGGATGATCAATTGGCTTCAGCTGTTGGGCCAACTGAACTTTATATGGCTTCAGGGCAAGATCTTTGCGCAAAATTCGGTGCGTAGTTGACCGAGAAAGGTGCAACTCTTGCGCTCGATGACGAATCGATGTGGATGGCCGTTCACGAACACTTTGTTCCACCGCAGCGATGTTTTCGGTTGACCTTGCTGGAAATGGACGTTTACGTGTTGTTTTATCCAACAGTGATCCAGTTTCGCGCACACGATTCACAAATTGCCGCACATATGCCTCCGATGGCAAATCTTTTTTGGCAAATATTTTTTTCAAATTTCGCACAGTTTGCGTTGGCGATTCACCACTTTGGAAATAATTTTTTAATATTTCCCAGCTTTCCTCAAGCGAATAGCGACCCATTTCGTAAATGTCAGACTTATTACTAAATATGTGACACTTCTCCGATGACAGTTGACGTCTCCAATGTCAAATTATCGTTAGTTCAAATTCGAAACGCTAGATGGGACACCCGTTACCATTTAATTATACGGCATATAAAATTTATATGAGCATCACTATCGATCGTGAAGAAAGTGAAAGACGAATTAAATGACCTTTGATTGTATAGAAGTATCACCTGTTCATATAAGAGTTACACTTAGGAATAACAATACACTATAGAAATAGTTCCAATAATAGCTTGGGTGGTCCATTGAAGGCCACAAGTGCAATCACATACATATTTATAGGGCGAAGCTGTGTGACATTACGATACTCTACACTCTCTAGTGGAATTGTTGCGCGTGTTTCCGCTTTCAAAATAGATTTACGTTTTTAGAAGATTATTTAAAGTTACTTTAAGGGTAATATAGTTAACGGACGAATAGGAATTTTAAGAAATTTGATACTGTGTATGGTATTTCGCTGTTAAAATCTTTTGTGCTTGATAAGTTTTTGTAAAAGCTTAAATTATTTCCTTCCGTAACAAGTGTTTTGAGATTCAACCCTAGAATTCTCATCAAAGTTTTCAAACACCAGTTTATTTTCAACTTGTTCCATTTTCTAAATTGTTCTTCTACCAAGTTCTCATAATAGAGAAATTCAAGACGCGATTTTAGTATGTAAAGATTTAATTAGTAACCGATATGCAGCAAGCGATTATAAAGTTTGTACCTCAATATACAGGGTGTTCATATTGTGTATAGTACAGTTTTGAGTAAGATGTAACCGATTGCCAAGTGACCTGAATATTGTGTACTGATATTAAACGTGCCTTCTAACATTAGAACTCGCATTTTATGACGTCATTAGCCGGTCAAAATTTAACTTTGATACTCACAATGAAATTCCGTTAACGATATTTCATTGTCATAAATACGTTTTAGTAATGACATTTTGGTCATTAAGTTCACGGCTTGTATTTTTATACGAAAGCTTTATACAATGAATTAAGAACAGTTTTATAAGATTTATCAATTCTATTAAGACAGAAGTATTTAATAGGAAAAATGGAAATAAAAATAATGATTGTAATTTCATTTCCAACTCGGAGCCTTGAAACTAGATATTAATTGACTTTACTATTCATAAATATTTAATGAATATCACAGACATTATTTATTTTCGTCTTGTCGTCGTTATACCTACTTATTATTACTAAACAAAATATCTGTTAAACCAACAGAACATCTCGACCAAAAAGAGGGTGATAAAAATAAATCTGTATTTTTCAATTCATCTACAGTAAGTGATTTTACAGAAATGGAACCCTAAACTGTAATCTGTTGATTGAAGCAGTCTACATAAATAGCGGGGCCTATGTACATTTGGCAGGGATTTTGACTGGGGTGTTCTTTGTACTAACCCTCTTATCCCCCTTCTATTCGAAAAGGCAGGTTCAAAATTGGACCGTCATGTCAAAAATATGTAGCTTGTGAATAGTCGGTGTACCTTTGGAATTATGAATTACCGTTTACAGCTGTATTCAGAATCATGCTTAATGAATTAACGCCTTTTAAGGTGAACAGAAAATTATTTTTAAATTACAGTCAGTTTTATCAAAAGCCACAGATGTCATTAAGCAGAATTTAAATTTATATCCCCGAAGACATAAATTTATTACCATTCATTGATTATGATGATAAAGGCTTAATTAAATTAATGATATAACGAAACATAGGACATGAGTCCCAAAAGTACGCGGCCTTAACCTTCAACATCGACTTAATAATAACTGGAATAATATGTGAACTAATAATAATGAATACACTTTTTATTTTATTATATAAACTTAAGAATAAAATACATTTTCATAAAAAAAAAATCTGCTTTAAAGTTAATATTAAACATAAGTATTTTTATAACTACGCATATATATCATTTTGTGTGCCTTTTTTCTGATAGTAATATATATTTTATATACATACATATATAAGATTATTGATTTTCGTCAGTTTCTAAAATGGTCAATATGATTCAATACAAAAACTCTATAAAGCTATTCTGTGAACGCTAAGAGAGGATCTCACATATACATACGTCAATGGATGAATTACTCTGCTTTAATGACATCTACTATATGTATAACCAATATTTGTGTTACACTTAAAACGGTGTCTACTACCACAGTGTAAGTTTTTCCTTATTTTTACGTAATTTTTGAACAAAGTTATTTATGAAAAGTAATAAGAAATATATGAATGTATATGTATATCTCTTAAACTGTGTCATAACAACATATAGTTATAATTAATTAATTTTGATATGTTTAAACTAGAGAGTACCTAATATTTGCTTTCAACTCATTTGTATGTAAGTCGATGTGTGTTTGCATGTCTGTGTATATGAGTTTGTAAGTGTACACATGTTGTAAGCCCTTGAATAGAATGTAATATAGATCTTCTTAGATAATTGAAGCAATTCAAACATATCATGTTTATTTTTGTATTGATATTTATTTTTATATATTATCATAAACATATCATTCACCATATCTAATATTTCACCCAAAATATTCATCTATATAGCCCTATAGTTTATTTAAATAGCGCTACAATAATAATTACGTTATTATACTTGTATATTGAAATCGTTTCAATTCATTTGTTATTTTATCCCCGACCTAATTTTCCTACGAAAATATCTTCAGGGTACAATTTATTTTCCGTTCTCAGGTACCGAGACAGTCTTCAGAATAATTAGTCGAATTATATTCGTGTTGAACAAGATTCTTCTGTTCAAACGCTGAATAAATTTGTTTTAATTGATGTAATGGGATAAAATGATTTCTGTCGTACCGAGGCTAGTCGAATACGGAAATCTTAAACGGTTAGAGTTCTCTTGGTAGCGATTTCGCGACAGTATTGAGAGGAGCCGGAATCTTATAAAAGCTCATTCTATTTGTGTACAATCATTATGCATGAACACGCGCCTTTAACTGTATAACTGTATCCGAGTCGTTTCCGTTTGCTCGCCCCTCCCTTCTTGTCCTATTTATTGCCCATTTGTAGACAATATTTACAGATTTTTTTTATATTATTTTGTCAGGATCCAAACGAGGGTTCTGAATGTCTAAATTAATGAGTCTCTGTTACCACATCCTCATAATGAGATTCCCAGTTTAACTGCTCATTGTGTTGGGGTTGTAATCTGTTTGTTTTGTTCGCGTATGTATTAACATGTTGGACTTTTGTCAACAGACAATCATAATGATTTTATGAGATTGTCGCGACCCACGGTGTCGCTGTATGTAATGGAGGGGTCGTATATTGCCTGCGCGTTGCTCCTATTGAGTCCTCTAGCACTCAGCCGACACGATGATGACTTCGCATTCGACAACAACGAAGAATTTCAGGTGAATAATATGTTAAACACATCTGCAAACACTATTCTCAAAATATAGTCAAGACATACATGCAAAAAATATATATATTTCATGTAATGTAAATGATATAGCAATATTCCTAAGGGTGGTTTGTAAATGGGTTTATTTAAATCTCTAGGTGGAATTGACAGCAAATCATTCCGAAATAGCGAAAAATGGCCTAAGAAGGTTATGGGGCGTCCCGGACACATCGGCCTACGTGGGACATCTATTCAGGATGGAAATCCCGAAGGAGGCCTTCACCGGGGAAGTTTTAGCATATAAGGTATCTTCGTTTACGTTATTCAACCTTTTTCGTTTATATTGATGGAGTTTTATATAGAAATACTTCACATCCAACGATAAAGAATTTCTGCATGTTATGCCATTTACTCTTATTTTATTGGAACATTAATCAAAACAATTTTTTTAGTTATATTTCTATACTTTCTCAATGTTTTGTACCAGCTTTTTCAACAGAAACATATCAGATATAACATATTTTTGATTTATCAAGTATGATTTCGTTTAAAAGGTACGAAGGGAAGACGGTCGTCATCTACCAGGTTGGCTGGCTGTCGATACTAAACACGGTCTGGTCAGTGGTGTGCCACAGAAACAAGATCTGGGAGCACATAGTTTCACAGTTATAGCACACGGAAAAACACACGGTCTCACAGCCACAGACACATTCACTGTTGAGGTAAATGTTATAACTTTATTAGTCCTTACATCTGAAATGATCGTAACATTTTCTTTGGAAGTGTTTTTGGGGTAAAATTTACAGTTTTTAGTAGATTACAAGTTTGAATCTATCAGTATTGTAAAGTCGATAAAATGTACCTCCTTTGACGTTATTTCACAAAGCTCAAAATTTAAGACAAAATTTACGTTTCAGGTGAAAAAAGCAGAGGAGAAGCCCCAATCGAAATACGGCACGTGTGTCAGAAATGAAAATAGACTGGTTTTGGTGATTCTGATAGACGGAGCCTTCCATAGGATTGTACCGCGGCAAAGGATACGAGCCCTCATGGAACTAGCGAGCTTTATGGCTTTAGATGGTGTAAGTATACAACCTTTGTTGATAGGTCTTCTCTACCACAAATCACCAATCCAAGCTTCTATATTCTTGCAACATTAAATATACCACAGCACCTACAATCTTCTACTCGAATGCCAAAGCATAGATATTTTTTGGCCCTTAAATGTAAAAATTACAACGTGTTAGGTCTTCTATTAAAATTTTGCCAGATTTCTTCGAAATCAAGTGTAATATTATAATTTTAGTCAAAATGTATAGTTACATTATGTTGATATATAAATTCAATAGGAAATGTATTCCGTGACTGTACTTGTAATGTTCGTCTCATTTATTCTACTCTCGTTCGATGTCTTTAATTGAATCCTCTATTATTATTGCCGCTACTGATTCTTAACACATACGACATTATACTTATTTATTGAAAGTTTTATGTAACTGATATTTAAATATATATGTTTTTGATAATGATATTTGTAAATGTATTCTTACAACGTAACATATTTGGCCTTTAATAGTGATTTTTTTAATCCGAAAGTTTTTTTAAACTTCAAGTATTTGATTTTATTAGTTATAGTATTTGCATATCGAAGATATTTAAATAATATGCATCCAAAAAAGTTGCATCCAACAAATTTTGAATAATAAATCATTTGCTGTCACTTTTGTAACAAATAAAAGAGCAATAAAAATTTAAAAGTTAATATTTTGCCTTCATTAATTTTAGGATGAATTCTGGATGGAGCCTTATAAGGCTGAGTCTGCACAGTCGCATATCGTTCTGATGAGCGGGCCCGGGACCACGCAGCGGAGGAAGAGTGACGCTACTACCGCTATATATTTGAATGTTCGTATCGTCCTACTAATATTATAATTGCGAAAATTTGTTAATGTGTGTGTATGTTTGTTACGTCTTCGCGCTCAAAAGGCTGAACCGATTTTGATAAAATTTTGCATACAGGATGCTGACGTCCAGGAATAACACGTAGGATACTTTACATCCCGGAAATCCGCGGGTAACATCGCGGGGCGCAGCTAGTTAACAATATAGCTCATAAATTATTTGATTTGTTACTTAGTTAATTATTTAATATACATTTTACTACTATACCCATTAAATGAATCAGTAGTCTTCTTCTTCCTAGCAATTCAGTAGTGTATGAATATAACTAATATTTTCGGATGAACTAAAATGTTTTTTTTTTGCATTGCGTCTGCCCGTGATCACGGTTGCTGCAAAGTAACCGAAACGTCAGGACTATTAAAAACGTAGAGTACCTACATCCGACAATATTAGTTCCATTTAATTGTCTCAGATCTCATTAATATATATTATATAATATATTTTTCAGGTTGGTTGTGGTGAGAAGTTATGGTCGCGTCATAAAGTCCTTGTTTCCGGTCTTAGAGAACAATCCCGGGATGGAACTCTGCATCAAATATTACGTCTGCCCGTATTAGGATGGAGGTTGATTGCTGTTAAAACACTACCACGGTTAAAAAGACAGGTCGGTAGAACTGATAACTGCTAAGTATAAGTTAATCTTTTTAAACTACATACTAATCTGTTTATACTAAACTATTATGTTAACTGTTAATTCTTATGAATTATGCCTGTAAATTCTTGGTAAAAAATAATGACATATTCACGTTTTTGTATTAGTCATAACCTATATTTTATTTAATGTATAAAGTATATTATTTTAAAGTCTTCTAGTTAAAATACTATATGGTACGAGTCAAATGATAAAAGACTATCTGACATTGAATACTTTCATCTATACAGGGTGACTGGTGAATTACTATCGATACTTGAGGACGTGATATTTGACGATCATATATGACGAAATAAAAATTAATATAACATAAATATTAATAAACTTCTAAGTAAAGTTAACCAAAAGTTATGTAATTAATTGCGCATCTTGTGCACACCCTACAGATTAGGTATACACTCACACACACATACGTAGTGTTGTATCAGCACGCTGCCGCAAGCGACCACACTTGGAACACTTGGAACGTGTCAACACTTTATTTATTTATACGGAAATTTTGTCAAAAATTAAGTACCTATTTTTTTTACATAATTCGAATGAGAATCATGTACCGAGTATTCTCCTTAAATATTGATAGTAATTCACCAGTCACCCTGTATAGATTATAGAATTTACAGTATTAATGAATATATAATTATTATAAACAGTCTGATTTGGACGATGGGTCGGGCGCCTACGATACCTATGACGACGATGAAGGCGACTACAGCGGCTACGACGACGACGACGACTACGCCGCCGGACTCGACGTAGGCGCCGTTCCCGACATCGTGAGTATTATAAACACTCGTCGTAGAATATATTCGTCGGAACTTACGTTGCGACGAGTTCTCGTCGGAGTTTTCATGTTAATAAAATTTCAGTTTCTTCTAGCAAAAAGTAAAAACTTACTTCTTTTGGTTGTTCTTTTAATATTAAACATATTATCAGTCTGACATCTCGTAATAAATATTTGTCGTTTTTGAGTGCCGTATTAATAATTTATTTTTCTATTTAAGTTGTCATTAAGATGATTTATTGATGTTTTTTTGTTATATCTTCTGGCTAACATATCATGGCTTGAAAATATTTTTTTATTAAAAATAACTTCTTATTGAATAAAGAGATCATTATTCGATGTATAAGACTTTTAAAACACATTATAGTCCTAAAAAAAGCATTTTCATGTTCATCGTCATATCATATCAATTTATAAATAACATTATTAATATAAATATTATCATTAATTACATCAAAATTAGTTTTTATTATATTAATATCTTCGCTAAAATTGATATGATTTTAAAATTATAAATAGTCATAGATAAATTTAAATACAATTTTGTCGTAAGATATATTTCATATCTATTTAATCAAAGTCTTATATCAATCAAAGTCTTATATTCTTGATATATTAAACGCTAAGAAGTTGAGTAAAAAAAAATATTAACTCACATGACTTTGAACAGAGAAATATTCCTAACAGCTAAATCAATTTTACAAGATTTAATTAATATTTTAAGCGAATAAATACAAAGAAGCTTACCTTCATTGTACCATTATATATGTACATGTTGCCATATATCTTCAATGTCATGTTTTCAACACAGCCTTCCTCATAGCGATACTATCAGGAACTGCATGGAATGTAAATAACATAAAACCGCCTCTTGTAGATATATAATTAATAGTTCATTATAATATTATTTATTATTTAAATCATCTATCGATTATGAACAGAATAAATACTTGTTTTTTTTAACTGCATGCTTATAATACGAATACTAGCTGGAGTTTAATTGAACGCAAGATTTTTGTTTCGTTTTACTTTATTTTAAATGGAGATGTTAAGGTTCTGTAGTATAGACATGTTATATCGGAATTACACCTTCGCATGAACGTTCTATCCTATTTCTTTCTTAGACATCCGTTGAAATCTCCTGAATGTGATCGGGCGTCGATTTTCAATGTTTTTTATTGAATTTTTTTAACATATCAAATACCATCAAGTGACATTACAAATAACATAAAAATAATAAAATAAAAATAATATCAACCATAAACATGATCACCATCAACTCATCGCTAAATTAATTTAACTTTACAGATGGTTTTGTTGATTTTTTTGCTTGGTGGGTACTTATAAAGACGTTTGTTTTCGTTTGTTACGGATTAAGATTGGAACACAAATAGCGTAGATGAGTATGATTTGAAAACACTAACTCGAAGGAAACGCACTAACAAATAAGTTTTAGATCCCATTCTAACATAATTATTAAAGGAGACGATATTACATATATATTACGATTAGTCATGTTACCTATACCAGTCAAGTTGTCTTCCCTATCTCTTTTTGTTCTGTCATGGCTCGGGAGATTTCCTTTCGTTTGTTATGTGAGCGGGATGTAGTATGGGTAACATGTCTATAGCCAATGGTGGCAGTACTAACCCGTGTACGCGCGGCGCCAGGTGGACGCCCCAAAACCCCCGCACCCACACCGTCACCACCACGGCCAGCCCGACTTCGCGCCACACACCACCACCGACACGTTTCAGACCGAGCTCACCGACAACACGGCGATAACCGACCCCCAACCTCCGACCGAACCCCCGACGACCCCCGAACCCCAACCCCAACCCCCGATCCCCTCCACGCCAGCCGCGACGCTTGTGGAACACACGCTCACGGAGACCCCCGAAACAGCCTCAACTAATACGTATACCACGGAGGTTTGTCGTGACCTAATCCGAGTTTCCTTTATTTTTATTGCATGCTACATCGTGTTCTCTCTGTCTGATCGTTTTGTTTTGTGATTCGTATCTTCTATCTCTCTCACACTTTGCACGGCAGGTTGTGTGTGGTTTGTATACTAATGGAACACTCGTTTTTCATCGTTCTTTCTTCTTGGACGAAACTTTAGTTTTTGCGTTACGAAGCATGTTTTTTTTTCAATGATATTAGAAATCTTTGTATGACATGTGAATTTTTATGTAAATCACGAATTATATAATCATTTATATAGAACAATTTTTTGTTTACTTGGGTCAATATAAAAAAATTGTTTTATCTAAATTGTAAGAAACATTGTTATAACTGTGTATGCCTTGTTCACTAACATTTTTTTTATAGATTTAATTTATCAATCTATATTTTTGTTTCTTGGTTGTTTGTATGAAGTTATTTACGCATAATAATTAGTTGCATCATGGTAGGTAGAAAAGCTAGCTGATTCTGATAATTTGATTTTATATTTATTATTTTCGAACACCTTAGCAATTTATTGACGCAATACAAAGAAAGAATCTATTGTGCTTTTATGTATATTATGTTTAATTCAAACAGGATCACAAAGTTAAAATCACACCGTATTCTGAATCCGCATCTGAGTCGACTCAAGTGAAGATGACGAAGGAACATTTGGCAACCATACCGAGAAGATTAGACGAACATTCACCCATAATAATTGTCCCAGAAGATATTCCCACCACAACTGAACCGGAAGAGGTATATTCAGCCTATATTTTATACCACAATCCCAAAACTAACTCACATTTTGTAGAAGTTTTTTTCACTAATTTATCTTTCTTGTGTGGGTGTGGATTTTCTTAACAAGGGGTAGTATAGACACGGAATACCATTTAGAATCACATCTTAATATAATCTGTAAATACATTTAACTAATCATTAACGTTCAGACAATGTGTGTGTATATCAAACATATAATATGAACAAAGGATGTAAAATATGTTTGAAATCACAAAATCGTCTCGACGTATACACATCACGTTGTGAGCGTCCGCATGACACTTTCAGTCCACCGTTATAATACAAGCGTCCAACGAACTACCGACGTCAATGGAAACACCGACGTCACCGTCGTCTACAGAAGAAACGATTACTATACCAATATCCTCTACGTCTACTACGACGTCAACGACGCCTGAACCGACAACTGTTGAGACGACGTCGTCAACGACCACGTCTACGACGTCAACTACGACGAGTACGACCACTCCTACGCCTACACCTACGCCAATTATAATATTGACGTCACCATCGACTACGCCAACTACGACGCCAATCGATTCAACCACACAGGAAGTCACAAAACAGGTCCGTGGAGACACATTTATCGCATGCGATATAAATACAGTTTTTTATAAGCTATATTTATGAATTGCTATGAACTGAAGTTTCTGTAAGTACTTAAAGCGATTAAGTGTATTTTTTTCCCATCACGTCACAATAAAACTTAACAATCATACAACGCAACAATATTTCACCATTAGAATAATATTTAAAAACGCACCATCTTAGAATTTGAAAGGCACTGGGAAGGTGTACATTCTTAAATATTTTATATAGTATAAGTATAATTTTACCAAATGTTTTATTTCCAATCCATATATTTTTTATTTGTTTATTTATTATTTTTGTTGCTTTTTATATAAATGGCAATAATTATCCCATTATAATTTTTTTCATAATACTTAAATGATATTTTCAATGTACCAGGATACCATAACTTCAACGGAGCGCACCAGTACTATAGTTGGTAGAACAACAGAGACTGTTCCTTTCCCTATGCCGGTGAATCAGCCGCCGACACTCAAACATCATATGAAGAAACTAGCTATTACAGCCGGAAAAGCCTTCAGGTATAAAATTATATAAACTTATATAAAACTTATTTAATTTTTTAGTCACAGAAAACTTTAAGCTTCTCTAATTTGATGCTTGTCTCTTATAAGCTATATCTATATTAAGAACTAGCTTTCCGCCCGCACCTTCGCCCGCGTGGATTTCGGTTATATCGCGATTCAAAGAGAACCTTTCAAAAGTCGCGGATAAAAACTATCCTATGTTCTTTCACAAGGTCAACTCTATCTCTGTACCAAATTTCATTAAAATCATTTCAGTGGTTTAGGCGTGAAAGCGTAACAGACAGACAGACAGTTACTTTCGCATTTATAATATTAGTAGGAATAAAATTCCTACTTTCTAAAAATTTTGTTCTAGTTTGGTAAAAATCATAAACAAACATTATAAGTCCCATTAAATGAGATACATATATACTTACTTATTTAATTTAACTTTGTATATATGAAAACTAAATTTTATTTGTATATTAAATCTTACAGATACATTATACCAGCCGATCTATTCACTGATCCCGAAGAAGGCAGCAACTTAACGTTTAGGATGTATGAAGAAGAAAATGTACCACTTAACAAGAACTCCTGGATACAGTTCCTACCACACGAACGAGAGGTCTATGGACTGTAAGTGGTTGGATCAATACCAAATATTACAAATATTTCAAATTTATATATATATTTAGGTCTTTTAAAAGTTTATGTGTATATTAATATTTAAATGAATTATATACAGGGTGACTGGTGAATTACTATCAATATTTAAGGAGAATACTCGGTACGTGATTCTCATTCGAATTATGTAAAAAATAGGTAGTTAATTTTTGACCAAATTTCCGTATAAATAAATAAAGTGTGGACACGTTCCAAGTGTTCCAAGTGTGGACGCGTGCGGCGGCGTGCTGATACAACACCATGCCGCCGCACGCGTGTGTCGCCACCCCCAACCCCCGCCTCGTGGCTAATTAATCGGGCGAGCGCCACCGTAAGGTCTGTACGTTCGTCTTCCCGCGCGCGCGCCTAGCGATCGATCTTACGCGTATACCTAATCTGTCGTGTGTGCGTGTGACCCGTTATTACTTATTAGTAATTAAGTATGGCTTATCAATACACAAATGTGTATCACACGAGAAGGAGCTCACTGGCTACCTACCTACCTACCTACATAACTGTTTTGTGACGATAACGCAGCTAGGGTGTCCACACGATGCGTAATTAATTACATAACTTTTGTTTAACTTAGAAGTTTATTAATATTTATGTTATATTAATTTTTATTTTGTCATACATGATCGTCAAATATCACGTCCTCAAGTATCGATAGTAATTCACCAGTCACCCTGTATATGATACAGGATACAAAATTAAAGTTGTCAAATATACTTTTAAGAGTGCTTTTTGTCATTTTAATGGGTTATAGTAAAAATAAATTAATGTTAACACTTTTCCTTTTTTTGCTAATAGCATTTTAGTGAGAAATCTACATGTCTAAACATTTATTTCCACATAACTATATGTATATTTTTTAATGTTTACTCCAATAAGATTCTGAAAACAGACTAAACATACTACTGTGAAGAAAATACCCAAACAAAGAGATGAAAAAGTGTACTTAACTAACTAGTTTAGTTGACAGAAAAACAATCTTAACCTAAATAATTTACTTGCTTTTATATAAGACTAGCTGCGACCCGCGGTGTTACCCGCGGATTTCTGGGATGTAAAGTAGCCTATATGTTATTCCTGGACGTCAGCTTCCTGTATACAAAATTTTATCAAAATCGGTTCAGTCGTTTGAGCGTAAAGAAGTAACAAACATACAAACACACACACAAACTTTCGCAATTATAATATTAGTGGGACTATATAGATATTTAATTTAAAAAATCCACAATCCACAGACCACTAGAAGCGCACGTGTCTCGCTGGAACTTCATAGTAGAAGCTCAGGACAGCGAAGGTCTTGTAGCAAGAGGACCTCTCGATATAACGGTACAACAACACAAGAGTGGCAGAACTATCAACCACCAGTTCATAATGAAGATGAAGCTACAGAATAATTACACCAACGCTGTTGACTGGCAGATAAGAGCGTTAGAGGGCATCGTGAATCTGTTCAGAGATACAGACATGGACCATCTGACTGTACTGAACACTACGCAAAACGGAGATCTGTATGAATTCGTATGGACCAACGACACCCTGCCTAAAGACCCCGCCTGTCCTATGGACGATATAAACAGGCTTATGAGGGTTAGTATTGATATGATTATATTGTTTTTGTTATATTTACATATATTTTATATAACACGATAGAATTATTATACGTTTTTCGGTATAAAGGTCTACTCTAAATAAATATTCATAGCAATATTTAAATGATATTACGCTACACGCATAAAAATACAAACTAGAACAGTGTCAAATCCCTACTAACATTATAAACACTTTCACGCCTAAACCACTGAACTGATTTTAATGAAATTTGGTAAAGACATAGAGTTGACCTTGAGAAAGAACAGAATAGTTTTTATCCCAGACTTTTGAAAGGTTCTCTTGAAACGATATAACCGATCTCCACGCGGGCGGAAAGCTAGTTTCATTATAAAATATGTATGTTTACAAAATTTAACTTGTCTCATGGGACTTTATCGAACAGATAATGGAATCCGAGCCGGATTCAGGCAGTCCGTCTGCCAGTTTGTCTCGAGCGATGTTCCCGGACCTCAAAATATCTGAGGTGAGGTGGCGCGGCGCGGGCCGGTGTGTGCCCCCCTCCACCCGCCCTCACGATACATACCCCCCCGTCACTAGGAACCAAGTAGACCATCTAACAGCTACTGTTGGACATTTACTACTGTATAAAGTGCCAGAGGTGAGTAGAACTAAACAGTTTACTTTTAAAAAAATCTATTTGTAGTATTGTGTATGGTGAAACCTGGACTTATAATTTCACAATTATAAGTTTGAAATTGCCAACCCGTTTTGAGCAACCGTGGTGATTAATGCTCAAACCTTCTCCATGTGAGATCAGGCCTTTGCTCAGCAGTGGGCTCTGATAGGCTGATGACGACGACGACTATAAAAAAATAAATAAACTTTATTGACTCAAGGATTACATAACAATCAAGTTGCAAGGGCACTAGGCCTGTACTAGGTGCAAACTCGTATTACTGGGTGCAGCAGTTTACTATAAAACCTATTTGTAGATGTGTATGGTGAAGAAAAGTCCAAGTTTTCAATATGATAAATATTACTACAAAATAATAAATATTACTAAAAATGCCTCTGTGGTAGATGTACTTACATATGACAAAGAATACTCGAAGGGACTTTGTAGTAACTTTGAGTGTTTTTTGTATGCTTAAATTTATTTCTGTTACCTCCATTTATTCTTGACTTTGAGTGTTACTTAATCAACTAAACCAGAATTTTGGTAATATTGTTATTCTTAATTGTTATTATGATCGAAATTTGTGAAGTCCGATTAAAAATAACTCTAATATTGTCGAGCATTCAGTTTTTAAGCATACTTAGTGTTCTCATTACTACATATTATTATGTTATATTAATTATTATTACAATATATTTCCAGGACACATTCTTCGACCCAGAAGACGGTGGTACTCGCAACCTGCAACTGTCTCTAAAGTTCAGCGACCGCTCAGAGATCCCTCCAAACCACTGGTTGCAGTTCGACGCACGAAACCAGGAATTCTACGGCCTGCCCGGACCCGGGGATGAAAAGATTGTACATTATCAGCTGGTAAGACATATTACGACTACAACATGATTTTTGCACTTTGTTTTAATATATGAATCTACTAGCTGCGCCCCGCGATGTTACCCTCGGATTTCCAGGATGTAAAGTAGCCTATATGTTACTCCTGGACGTCAGCTTCCTGTATACAAAATTTTATCAAAATCGGTTCAGCCGTTTAAGCGTGAAGAAATAACAAACATAAACACACACTCACAAACTTTCGCAATTATAATATTAGTAGGATAAGCAGTATAGAGCCATGAATCGTAGGTTTATTTGATAAGAAATCAATCAATTACTCAATAATTGGCATTCATTAAGCTCAATATGATAAAATTTTCAGATCGCGGAAGACTCTAGTAAGAAGAGTGCGTACGACAGTCTAATAGTGGAAGTAGCTAAGGCGCCGACCATACGACCGACCGTTGAGTTCCAAATGACTATGGACCCGTCGCCACTTGCGGATAGCGCCACAAACAAGAGGAAAGTTGTAGAGAAATTGGCTGCACTATTCGGACAGACTGACACAGATAATATACGGATACAGAGCATCACAGATAACCCCACTACTATTGTATGGTTAGTGTTAATATCACTTACATAGGATAATATATCGAAAATTAAAAAAAATACCATTATTTTGTTCTGACAAAGTAGAGGTTTATGATTTCTATCGTGCAAAAAGAGAAATCAAAGTACAGTCAATAAATTTTGCTGTTATTACGTGTATAAAACTAACTCGAGGGATAATTATCTGATTTCGTTCCTTCGAATGTTTAACAAAAGTACTGTTGCACTTCTCGTTATGTTTTCTCGAAGACTCCACTTTTTTGGCGCAAAGTTAAATTATTAACATCCATTAGGCACTCCGCGTTTCATATTTTGCTAGATAAGATCCAAAGTATATGATATATTTACTGTCCCAAGTATATAATCAATAATATAATTCCAGGTACAATACAAGTCTGCCAATGGACAGATGTCCCAAACGGGAAATTGAGGAACTACGAAGGATGATAATAGCGGACGAACGTGGATCTGTCGGCGGGAATCTCAAAGAACACGTCGATCAGATATTCGACAAAGACCTAAAGGTCATGTCCATACGACTAATACCATTGGGACTTTGCGCGGAGCAGAATACGAAGACACCCAAAACAATGGCGCCCTCTCACGGACCGAATCTACAGAATAAAGCTACTAACGCGAGCCCCGAATATTCTGATTATTTAGTGACGTTCGTGGTACCGGCCGTCGTTATCGTTTGCATGATCGTGGTAGCGGCCATCATCGCTTGCGTACTATATAAGAGACGGCGAACTGGTGAGTTCATTGACCTTTAACATATATATTATATTTAAATGTAACGTTTTATTTCCTTACTTGTTTGTATGTTAATATTTTTATTGTTCTCAATCCAAATTCGGATAAGTTAGACTAATTGCATATTATACCTAACAATAAATGATGTGATATAACTAACACGTATTTTAACCATAGCGGATGCAAATTCTTGACACGAAAAAGGTGATTATAATATTATTAGCACACTTAGCTAGCATCAAATAACTTAGATAACGCCCTTCCTGTTAAAGTGTGAACAATATTAGGCACTCATTCGTTTTATATGCACATTGCACATTTATATTAAGTTCATAATTCTTCAGAGCTGCGCTAGAGTTTATTCATTTTGATATTATCCTTTATATTAGGATTTTTTCTTTCGATGATTATGATCTCGCGTAGCTCTGGTAAATTCTGGATTTCTAAGTGTTATCCAATAAATTAATCATGATATTAATATAAATATAACATTTTAAGGTAAAATGAGCGTCGGTGACGAAGAAGAGCGTCAGGCGTTCAGATCTAAAGGGATTCCTGTGATCTTTCAAGATGAACTCGAAGAAAGAGTTGAAACTGAGCCGGGAGATAAGAGTCCTGTTATTATGAGGGAAGAAAAACCACCCTTACTGCCTCCCACGCCAGATTATCGTAATGAAGACGCTCCCTATCGCCCCCCTCCGCCCTTCGCAGCCTCCCGCACCCCCCCTCGACCTAAAGCAACCCCTACTTATAGAAAACCACCCCCCTACGTACCACCCTAATATGATAAATGAACTCTGACGCACACTTGTCTGACGATTAAGTTTGATTTACTTCTTCTAAGGTGATGTTTTTTTGCTGGAAATAAAGGACATCATATCTAATAAAATTGCAATTAAAACAGGATTCTTACTAATAGAGAAATAAAACCATTAATATAATACTTACAGTTAGCAATCATCGAATTTTATATATATCTAATATGAAAATTTAGTAGTTTAAACTATATGAGGTCCATAGAACAAAAAAATGATTACCTTTAGTATATTTTATTTTGGATGGTATTTCAAAGTTCAAAGTATATTTTTATTCGCCGTCAGACGTGTGCCACAAACGGGTGTATTTTTTAAAGTCTATGTAATAAACCTAGTCGACATTCGTCTTGCAGCTATTCGACAACTATCTTTGTATTCAAACGACACTTATCAGTATATAAAAGTATATTATTATATTAACGAGCGTTTATGATGTTACGAAATGCATTTATTACGAAAATTAAGTTAACACGAAACGTTTAAGGAATTGTGCACAATGAAAGATACGAATTTCATGTGTAATGGCCGCTGTAGTTTAACGTTGATGGGATGTAAAGAACTTGGATCTTAAAGTATTAGTGTTGTTATTGAGGTAGGTGATGTTACATTAGATCATAAAGTTATACAAGAATATTAATAAATCGCTTTTACTAATATATGTACGTGACGAACTGAATGTATTCAATATAACTAGACCAAGAACAGTTCTATAGGTGTTTTGGCTGCGTGTGCCATTGTTTGAAAAAAAAAATTGTTATGTAATTTAAACATATCCAAATGTAACATTAGCCTTTAGCGTAGTTCTTCCAACACGATATACTAGGCTATGCATGTGTGTATGTGACTTTTAGGACACAATATATACTAGGAATGTTTATCATGATAGAAGCACACGATTTTAAGACTTATATTTTATTTGGAGGTTTTCCTCTCCGTGTGTTCAGTGAGTCGGGCTTGTCTATTAAGAGCCGTATAAATGGAATGCTTTCACGCTCGGTAACATTTTTTTATAATACGAATGAATTAAGCGTGTAAATTATAAAGTGTTATACAACTGACTTTAGTTTTAGGTTACGAATAGATATTTTTTAAGAATAAAATATCATTTTGTACTTGTCTATTATTACCATAGGTTTAAGATTAATCAAATTATGTTAAAGATAGGGAATTTAACGAAATGAGCTATAAAATTTAAAAAAAAATGTTTGGATGTATTTTTTTCTATTGTATACTCATTTAGCTGATGTTTCTTCAATTATTTTTTTTTTTTTGTATTTTTATTTCTTAGTAGGTGTACTTAAATAATGTCCACAGGAAACCGAACCATGTTATTATATTTTCATAGCTCTATGGCTGCTACTTTGTTTACACTTCACACGAAAACGCACATAATTTATGTAATTATTGAGTTTTTATTTCTAATTTAATAAAATGGTCTAGTATTTCGCCTTTCTTTTTTTTATACCAAGTAACCCTTGTTATATTATGCTGTGCATTAAATTAAAATTAAGACAGACATTCACTTTTTTTTCTTTAATATCGTTTTTATTTTTATTTGATCCAATAAGGATCACTTAGTATTCCAAACAACGGAATGGAATAAAGTGCTACTTTTAGGGAAAACTTTACATGTAACATTACGTCTTTGGAATACCGTCGCATGGAGAGAGACCAAGTGTTTTTACTTAAGATTCTTCAAAACTATATTGATTCACCCTTTTTGCTACAAAATATTGGCTTTAGATGTCCTAAAATTAAAACACGTAATCAGTCCCTGTTTCACTTACCTTTAACAAATACTAAATATGCTCAAAATGCTTTTATTTTCCGTGCCTGTCAGAAATATAACAAATGTTTTTCAAATATAGATTTATCAATGTGCACAAAAAATAATATAAGGAAAGAAATTAGCAAAGCTTGTAATTCGTAATTAATTTATCTTAAAATTGTTATTATTATTGTTATTGTTATAATTATTATTATTATTATTATTATCATTATTATTATTATTATTATGATTATGATTATTTATTATTATTATTATTAGTATGTTATTATTATTATTATTGTTTTGTGCTCCAAATGAAATTGTAATTGGTGGAAGCTTTTTGGTCTGTGTACTTTTATATGTTTTATTTAATTGATTTCTTTAATACTGTTTGTTTCCCAAAAAAAAAAAAAAAAAAAAAAAAAACATGATACTATTGGTCATGACAAGCCTTTTTTCTAAAAAAGTCAAATTTAAAAAAAGTATTGCCAAATTTAAAAGCCAATATTCCTTAAGTATCTTTAAACAAGGCTCTGTATACATTAACCAAAAAATTTTTCTCTTCAGAAGTTTTATCAAAAGAAGATAACTTCGAATGCTGGTAACTCTGCACTTCCACGCAGATATGGCATTTATTATTCCAATGTTAAAATATGTGAATTCATTAGACTACCCTATTGTAACACAAATAATTCGTTCCCGACCTAAACGTATTCAAATTCATAAGTATGAAGATTTTATAATTTTTTTTCAATTAATAATTTTGAATGTAAGATTTTATTTTAAAGTTCTAAATATAACTGACCACGGCAAAATATTAAAGTATATATTAATAAAAAAACTAGGAAATGTATGTTACTATAAGTTTTTTCTCAGGTTAACGTGAATGCACTTTAGTACTATTTTGCAAGTGTCATTCCCTGTTAAATGACAAATTGAAATTTGACAGTGATTATTATAAAATTTCAAATAGTTTAGCAAAATCCGAAATCGTATTTTATGTTTATTTTCACTATACAAATGTGTTACTAGTAGTTTATAAAGAACATATATTCTTATGCTTACCCAAAGAATTAGGTTAATAGTAGTTGAAGATACTTAAATATAATTTTATTATGGAAAAACCGAAAGAAAGTTGTACAGTAATTAAAAATTCTGGGAACCACCCCAAACGGAAAATGTTTAATTTAAGAAAATTGCGTTTGTCTTTAAAATATAGACCTAAAGTTTATGAATTAATATTAAAAATGAGACAATGTATACGAAGGAAAAATGTTTTACTGAATAAGTTCAAGAGCTTAATAAAACAAAAGGTATGGAATTTTCCAATTTTTTTTCTTTAGGTTTTTCAGAACAACTGAAGTAATAATACGTGTGCTTGCAGGATATAATCCAAACTGAAAATTCACCTACACAAAGAAGCATAGAAATTATAAAAGATGAAGTTTCAAACAACAACAAAAATATCTCTATGAAACATTCATACACTCAAACAAATGCATCTGATGAGATATTAAGTAAGGAAAGCAAGGAAACAACTGCCTGGACAGTCGACAATAGTAAAAGTGAAAAGAGTATTGCTGAACAAGTAACAGAAGCAGCTCAAAGTGCTCTACAAGACTCCGGGATGGTGTTTGTTGAATCTATGGGAATGTACTACGATTATAAGACTGGCTATTATTATAACTCTGTAGGTTTATTGATATTGTTATTATTTTTTACATATTCAACTTTGACATCCAATTCATTTTAATTATCCATATTGTTGAAGTTCTAACAGTGTTAGGTAGAATATCACATTTACTACAGAACCAAATTGCTATAGTTGATGACTAAACAATGTTTGATAGTGTTAGTAAAATTGTACTGTCAATAAAATGAAACTTTACAAAGTATCACACACTTTGTCTGTGTTGTTTTAAATACTGTGGCATTAAATGGTATTACATTTACACAAATTTAATAATGAATATTTATATATACAGGGTGACTGGTGAATTACTATCGATATTTGAGGACGTGATACTTGACGATCATATATGACAAAATAAAAATTAATATAACGTAAATATTAATAAACTTCTAAGTAAAGTTAACCAAAAGTTATGTAATTAATTACGCATCGTGTGAACACCCTACAGATTAGGTATACACACACACTCACACATACGCGAGCGGGGGCGTGGTGTTTTGACAAAAATTAAGTGCCTATTTTTTTTTAAATAATTCGAATGAGAATCATGTACCGAGTATTCTCCTTAAATATTGATAGTAATTCACCAGTCACCCTGTATATTAACCAACTATCAAGGATATCTATAGTATGTCATGTAACTTCACAATTTTTATATGTTCCCATGAAAATAACTCGGGATGAATCATGGACATTATAAAAACTACTTGACACTTTCATACACACTGTCAGAACTTCCCTGTTGATAAATAGAATTAAAATTCCAAACACATAAATCATGATTGAATCATTTTAGTTTTGTATACATATAATATATTTTAATTATATTCAATATATTTTAACACTATTTTTACAGGAACTTGGTCTCTATTACCACACTGACACAGACTGTTACTATTATTATTCAGATGAAAAGAAGTCCTTTGTTTTTCATTCATATCCTGACAAAAGTGCAGAGAATATCGCATTTGAAGCACATGAAAAGAGGAAAGCTAGGAAGCATAAAAAGGTATATAAAACATAGAAATGCATGAGTTATTATTTAGTTATATACATATATTTAATTGTAATGATAATAATACATTTTACATATTTTTCAGGCTGCTAAATCTGATGATATAGAAAACCTGACGAAAAAATTGAATCAGGTTTCACTCCGAGGCAGTCCTGCCTTAGGTAATTACTGTGATACAAAGTCACTTCGCAATACCAACGTAAGAACTATTATTACAGGAAAATGAAGAAGGCAGTGAGCCAAAACGTAAGAAGAAAGAAAATGTTAAGCGAAAAGATTTTAAGAATATTGATGGGAATGGGAAAAATGATGGGTTTTTGCAAGACTCGGTGATGAAAGATGACTTGGAAGATGGTGAATGTAGTGCGAGCTCGGACGATGAGAATGAATCCAATGCAAGTACAGCCTCTCAGAGTGATGATGGTAAATGAAAGAGATTTACGGAATGTTATTAATCCTTTAAAGACAAAAATGATGTTTGGTTCCTTAGCTGAAAAATAACATCTGTATAAATTTATATTATATTATAACTGTGAGGTAGCACAGTTATTAAAATCATTAAATTGTAATTTTCTTCTATAAAGAGAAAATTAATTATCAGTATTGGGCTATAGTTTCTAATAATTCTGATACTCTTAGCTTGAATAACATCAAGATGTGTTGTCTTTGTCACTTCATTTAAATAACATATATGTATGTTAAGTATAATTTTAAGATGTTTTTTAACTATATAATGCTTGATGTCATATGAACATACATATATATAGGAATTTATTATAATCACATTGTTCTTTCAAAATTGTTCACTCTCATAGGCATAAAACGATAATATTTCTGTCATTAATTTGTTGATATCGTTTCAGACTCAGTGGCCAAGCATCATCCTCCGTGTATGCGCATCATAGTACGTGAGACGAGTCTACAGAAACTTAAAGTGGGGAGTCTGTTCGTGATCACTAAAGATGGCGGCAGCGTCGGTCGGGAGGGGAGTGACCACGCCTTCCTACTGAAAGATCATAATGTATCCAGGGTTAGTATGTTATTATATATTACATACTTATCATATTTATATATCTGGATACCTCCCACGTAAGTTGTTGTATGCCACAAAAATGCTATTTTGCTTTTTTTATGAAAAGTATCCTATTATGGATCATTACATCCATTTAAATTAAAAAAAACAACAAAAACACTATTTTTAAAGGATTTGTCAGACGCATGTTGTAATTTTCAAACGCGAACGGATTAAACTGATGTATATGCCTATGCAACCATATACGCGGGGCGCGAGGTGGGTAAAATCACGCGCTCACGCCGCGTATGAGTTACAACAGAGTAAGATTTATGTTTTTCAACGTATACTGTTCTAACTATGATATACCACAAGTGATGCTACCTGGGCGCCTCGGTATAATGTTGTAAGTATCAGATACACCTTTTTTAGCTTCTACTCCGGAGTAAAATGTTGTATGAACAATATAACAACAATATCTCCGCAAATAGGCATATTACTTAAAATATCTTTTAACGTAACATAATAGAAGACTATTATGTTAAAATAAAATACGAAATTTTAAAAAGACGCATCAATAAATGCAGATTATGTTTTAATTTGAATATTTAAAACGCTCTACTGTAAAATTACACTTTTGGAGATACAACAACTTACGTGGGAGGTATCGATCTATATATGTCATTAGTTTTAGAACTTTCTCATATACAATTTTTTTTTTCTTACTGGTTGGTAGATATTTTTTTTAATTATATTTAAAAAATAAAAGCACTTGGTTTTTTTGTTACTGTTTGTTTCGTGTCGATAACAAAAAATATATAAATAGATATTTCAATGTTATCCTTAAATAAAATTACTGAGTATATTTTGTTTGAAACTTTATTACAAGGATTAATGGAACAAAACTAAGATAATAAAATATGAAACGCTAGACTATACATACTAGTCATACTATTAAAACAGTCTTTTCTAATAAGACACATTGAAAACTAGTATTAAAATTACGTATATTATATTAAGAAACTCTGTAAGACTTTATGTTGTAACTTTCTTTCACTTAACATCTTCTTATTTGATTCGTCCACAGAATCATTTGGATATTAAATACGATATGAATAGAAGAATGTACGTTGCTATTGATTTGGGATCCAAGAATGGCACCATACTGAACGGGAACCGGATGTCTGAGAGTCAAATAGTTAGCCAACCAATGGAGGTACTACAATTTTTTAAATTACCTTATTGACATTCTGGTAAAAATTAGCTTTCAAGATTAATATCCTATACTATCATATATTTTGTCTAAGCTTAATCGAGTTAATTAATGAAATGAAACTAACATTATCAGATTACTATGTAAGCTTAATTTTATTATTTTTAAAACTACATACTTGTAATCAGAAAATGTTAGTTTCATTTAAATAAAATATCGCAAAATTTTAGATCTTATTAATTAATTAATCTTAATAATATTATGTTGTATTACAGATAGTTCACGGTAGTACTCTTCAACTGGGTGAGACGAAACTATTGTGTCACGTGCATCCCGGGAATGATACGTGTGGTCACTGTGAACCCGGACTTATCATGGAATGTAAGATTATGTTACTTTACTACGACATTATACATATTTAAATGAAACGATTACTACGCGGTTTTAGTTATTTTAAACTGCATACTCCCGACGTTTTGGTTGTTTTGCAGAAACCTTGATCAGTAGATTAGATGATATATTATTAACTTTGTGTTTCATGACAGCACTGTAATAATCAATTATTAAAAAGACAGTTTCATATAAAATCTCTTATTATATAATGCAATGATTGTATTTGTTTTAAAATTGTTTCCGTAATATAATATAAACAATTAATAATATCAAAAATTCTGTGATATATCTTAGCATTGCTACAAGGTCGTACGTTCAAGTGGAATATAAAAATCCATGTAAAGCCTTTGATACCAAACTCAATATACATGTCATAAGAGCTACCTCACTACGACATGAGTGCCAATTATGGATATTTTTTTTGCCATAATTCCAAAAAAATATGATATTATTGTCCTTACCAAGGATTGCACTAATTCTTCCACATATTTAAATCAGGACATAAATCTCGACTTCTAGAAGTAGAAATATTATTGTTTTCATTACTTATGCACCTTTAAATTATATTTATACACCAATTATCTTCTCATAAACATTATATAGTACATAAAACTAAAACAACATTTACACATATTAATACAAATTATTAATTCTCTAATATATCCCAAAATAATAGCTCTAGATAAAGAGAAAATCGCTTACACGAGGACGTGTAGTGTTCAAAAACAGCATCAGCTAGAATTAGCCAGGTTGAAAAACAAATATGCTCCAACACAACTCGCTATAGAAGAGACGGCTTACAACGACCGAGCTAGAACAAGGCGGGAAACAGTCGGGTCCTCACATCACTCTGAGAAGACTGTAGCCAGTGATGTGCACACGTGAGTAGAGTGGGACATCACTAGCTTGAAGTAGAGTAGACTTAAACCTACCATGCTGAAGTAAATTTTGCGATTATATAATAAATAGTGGCTATGTACTTGAATTGTAACAAGTGTAAGTCAGTTTTGATAAAGAAAACTTTTTTTGCCTTGTAGATAACTTCTATCTGTTAATACATTTTTTTTATAATTATTTTAAATTACTATTCTTAATACATATATATCATGTTCATAGAGTTTCCTTAAAAATTGTAACTCTTCAAAGAAAACAAATATATATGTATATGTGATGTGGTTTTTTTTTTAATATTTTAACAGATTCATAGCACCAGAAAACAAGGGTTTCAAACTATTAGAAAAGATGGGCTGGTCGAAGGGCGAAGGATTGGGCAAAGACTCACAAGGAGACCAGGAACCGGTGAGCAATATGTTACATATAAATATATCACGATTAGAGGTCTTAGAAAATTAACTTATATACTAATAAAAAATTTACTTATTAATAGACAATAAGTTTTAAATCGTTACTAACAAAAAAAAATACTAACATAGTTATTAAGTACTTTTGTAACTAACACGTGGACCTTGTTGTCTGAAATCAATGAGACATCAGAATGAAACTAATATTTTTCGTGCTTTTTTTTTGACTACATACTCCCGACGTTTCGGCTACTTTTCAGCAACCGTGATCACTAACAGATTATCAGATGACATCTGTCAATTGGTCCTGTTATTTATCATCAAAATAACAGTAAAAGTCATCACAATAAAAATGTTAGTTTCATTTAAATGAATAAAACTCGCGAATGTCTTAGATCTCCTAATAAGTTTTTCGAATAAGTCTTTTTTTTTTCGAACAATATCTTCATCAGTCTCGAATTATTCCTTTAAAAAATCATCTTTATTCTCATTTCGGATATAATAGATCTGTCTTCTTACTACATATACAGGGTGACTGGTGAATTACTATCGATATTTGAGGACGTGATATTTGACGATCATATATGACAAAATAAAAATTAATATAACATAAATATTAATAAACTTAACTAAGTTAAGTTAACCAAAAGTTATGTAATTAATTACGCATCGTATGAACACCCTACAGATTAGGTATACACACACACTCACACACTCGCGCGCGGAGGCGTGTTGTTGTGTCAGCACGCCGCCGCACGCGTCCAGACTTGGAACACTTGGAACGTGTACACACTTTATTTATTTATACGGAAATTTGGTCAAAAATTAAGTACCTATATTTTTTTACATAATTCGAATGAGAATCATGTACCGAGTATGCTCCTTAAATATTGATAGTAATTCACCAGTCACCCTGTATATGTATACTTCTGTAGGTATTATTCTTATATAAACAGTTTGTTTATGAACATTTTCCATTGCACTCGCTAGGAGTTGTAAGATTACCATAAAATACGAAAAATATGTTAAAACTCAGTTATAATTAACTAGCTTTCCGCCCGCAGCTTCGCCCGCGTGGAGTTCGGTTATATCGCGTTTCCAAGAGAACCTTTCAAAAGTCTGGGCTAAAAACTATCCTATGTTCTTTCTGAAGATCAATTCTATCTTTGTACTAAATTTCATTAAAATCAGTTCAGTTGTTTAGGCGTGAAAGCGTAACAGACAGACAGACAGAGTTACTTTCGCATTTATATTATTAGTAGGGATATTTACGTATTTACAATTATATAAATTATTAAATTTTCAATATTATCTCCTAGAGCAGCATTGCGAAATATATTATGTTCAAATGATTTTTTTATCCATGAATTAGTTGTGCTCGCTTCTTATTATTGTCAGATATATTTTTTATTTATATTTAAAATTTCTATCATAAAGTTATCCTAAGTTAAGTCTCCTTACATCAGCTGTCTGCGGTTCCATTTATTTTTTTATGTAATTATGATCTCTATACGTTATATCAATAAGGTATATAAACCTTTGTTCACATACTTGATATAGCTCGAAAAGAAATGCAAGTTTCACTCGATATTCCCACAGATTGCAGGTTCGAATCCTGATCGTGTCATTAAATTTTTCATTATATATTGCGATTTCTAATTTAACATTGCATAGTTTAATTTTAACACGAAACAAAATCTTATTCATAAATACATCTTATCTCTTCAAAGGATGAATGAAAGTAACCAAAACAACGTTTTAAAATTAATAAAATAACGCGTAGTAATCCGACCATATTAATATTAATTTGCGTATATGAAGTTTGACAAACTTATGGTATACCAAACATCCAAATAGCCCTTTAACCGCAGCGAGCCATTCCTTTCTAGATTCGTCTTGGCTTTATCCTTCATGGAAATTCGGTCATTATACGGCCCATTATCCTTTTTTAGGCTTCAATGTACCACAGTGACTAATGATCCAATTAGCTCTGCATACGTTCTTTTATATGTTGTTAACTGATTGTGATATAAACGCGACAACATACAAGCTTTCAACGCGACTCTTCTCAATTTGCAAGTAAACTAGGCCCAAAGTGAAAATTTATGCGTAAGTTTTTCTCGTGTTTTCTATGTGCTAGTATAAATTTTTGTTGATGAGTAAAAGCCGTAAAAGGTCATATTACAAATATTTTAAGGGAACTCTTTAAATTCTTTCCTACGTATTTTTACTTAATGTCTTGTTTATATAACCATATTAAATATAAACGAATCTATGAAATAGATTATTCTAGAAAATTTTCACAAGTTTTACTATTGATAATAGAATAAGTATGCTTACCACTGGTTGAAATTGTCACATTACGAAAACTTTCCGTATTCAATAATACACGCTAGGATTATGTGCGAGGCTTTATGAATGAAAACCTGCTAAGGCTCCGTATGTCTTCTTCTTCTACCTGGCAATTTTCCAGAGTCTGCCTTACATGTTGTGAATAGTTTTGGATAATTGTTTTTACGACCGGCCGCCTGCCTGAAATCAACCCTCTTTCGGAATGCATTAATCAGTGATGTCTAAATACTCTTAGAAAATACATATGACTCGGAATAATCGCATTGGTACTTGCCAGGATCGAACCCGCGCCCTCATGCATGAGAGGCGGGCCTTTTTACCACTAGACCACCACTGATTAAGGCTCCGTATGTATTGTAACTTAAACTTGTGGTAGGCTTACAGGAAAAACGTTGATTATCCCGTATGAATATAGAGTTAATTTAAGTAGACGTCTCTTATGAATTATTACGAACATTATAGTTTGAAGTGAATAATTAGTTCGGCTGACGATATTTAACTTTTTTCTTTTGAAAAGAGTAAGCTCTTAAAAACGTCTGGGATATTGTGAATGAATCGCCCTCAACAGGGTTCCGTACATATAATTGTTGATAGTTTTTCACAAAGACGTCATCAAATATATAATAAACTAGACATATTCCTTACTTTATGTGACAAAAAATATTTTTTATTTCGTTGAGTTTTTTTTTTCTAATTTTATCATTTAAGCAATTATAGGAATTATTGGGTGCTTTAATTAGGATCTTTAACGATAAATAACATTTTTTTCTATTATTTATATTCCTAATAATTACGTCAAAAATTTTGGCATCGATATTTTTCTGTTTCAAATATAATTAAATTATTTTAACTGCGTAATATATTTCTGTTAATTGATATACCATTAACAGATAATAAATAATTACTGTGTATAATGTCACGGCCAATTAATAATAAGGAATTGTATCCATTATATACGATTCAATACATATTCATAAAATTTATAATCTTTATTTTATGAGTTTTTAACGATTTTATCGGAAACGTACCAAGTAATTGATATATAAGTGCTACTATTATAATATTTATCCCGCGATACCCCAAAACAGTTGTTATTTTTTATTACATGATGCCGTCTGTAGGTCAGCGGAGTGCCCTACCTGCCCATTTAAAACAATTTGCGTATACATATATATATATTTTATATTCGCATTAGACCTGCCCGAACAACGACCATTAACTTTGCCAGACGGTGACTGTGAAGGCATGTTTTTACTGCAATTTTTTTGTTGCCATATTCATTGTTGATTTTTTTTTTTGTTTTGTTTTGTTTTGTTTCGACTGTATTGTTTAAACTGTGTAATCATCGTCGTTGAAAGAAAATAAGTGAGTTAAATATTATATTTTATTTCGCCTGCATTTACATATTTCAAAAGATTTATTTACCTTAAAAGGATCGTTTGTTTTATCGTGGGTGTTAAGATTCATCAGCATGTTTTAAGGCATGCTGTATATTTTTTCGTATGTATGTATGATTCATAAAGATTACTATAAATTGCAAAGAAAACGTGCAACGGCTATGATTTTTATCGAAACTGCATGCAGTGACGTTCACAGACTATAAACATGTGTTTGTACACGGATTTCAAAGCTTCATACGTCTTGGGATTTTGTACTATTGGCCCACTGCTATCATTAGACTGTGGCTACTTACAAATCGGCTCTCATATCAAGAGTCCTTAATGTTTCTGATAACATCTGAGTGAAGGGAATGAGTTATGTCTGCTCTGCTCGATGTTTAAGATATGCTGTTACTGAAATTATCCCTGGAATATTAATAAGGCGTTATATAAGCTTTCTATTTGTTACTAGAGTCGAAATATCGCGATTTCAAGCTAGTTGCTTTATATAGAGGATACAAATAATTAATTTTATGTATATGAATGAGATTAATTGAATTCATTTATTACTATATGACCGGTAACACGGCTCGGTATCATTCTATTTTACATATTAATTGAAATGCTTTGATTGAAATGTAGTAATACTATAATATACATGATTTATATGTTTTTTCTTGTATTTTTTAATGGTTATATATCGATCGATGCGTGGCTATCTGGATGCAATTTAGTCATTTGTCGTACGTCATAACTTGTATCTTTTACGTTGATCTATCAAGTTACATAAATTGCCGGTTGCTGTACGTACGCATTTATCAATTTTATCGACATTTATAATGCAATTTTTAAAGATAATTCGTATTTTTATGAAAAATATCTTCAAATTTAATGTAAATTTTCATAATTTTTTTAACGTACAACCCTGATGTATTCATCAATTTATACAGGGTGACTGGTGAATTACTATCGATATTTGAGGACGTGATATTTGACGATCATATATGACAAAAAAAAAATTAATATAACATAAATATTAATAAACTTCTAAGTAAAGTTAACCAAAAGTTGTGTAATTAATTACGCATCGTATGAACACCCTACAGATTAGGTATACACACACACTCACACAGACGCGGCGGCGGCATAGTGTTGTATCAGCACGCCGCCGCACGCGTCCACACATGGAACACTTGGAACGTGTACACACTTTATTTATTTATACGGAATTTTTGTCAAAAATTAAGTACCTATTTTTTTTACATAA